TTAATAACTGAAAAGCTTCCTCATGTGTCCTCCCCCACTCAAATTGAACCTTCACCTTCGTAAGGCCATGCAAAGGTGCCACATAAGTCCAAAAATACTGAATGAACTTGCACAAATACTGGCAAGCTCCTATGAAGCTTCTCACCTCCGTCACTGTCCTAGGCGTCGGCCACTTCATGATCACTGTTACCTTACTTGGATCTATCTTCCGCTAGCCCTTCCCCACGATAAAGCCGAGATACATCAACTCGTCCTTCCCAAATTCACACTTCTTCCCATTGAGCTTCAGTTGTCCGTTCTGCAGCACTTCAAACTATTAGGAATCTTGACCCTAAGATTAGTTTGTTTTGATGATAACAAATATTATATGTTGTGTGTATTATGGGCTAACATTTGTTTTGTAGTATCAGAGCTATATCAACAATTATATTCAAAGAGATACTCAAGACATAGATGAGTTCAAGGTAAAATGAAGCAAATAAGAAGATATACTTTATTGTCAAAATGTACTTTTATATTTTCTTTGCTTAGAAATTTGTACAAGCCTTGATCACTTACACACATGCACACACATAGTGTTAGAACACACTAACATATGCTTAGTGTGTTGGTTAACAATAGAAATCCCATATGTTAACCATTAGAGTTTATAGATATTGAGTGAGTCTTAAAACATTTCATTTACACCCCTTAGTAGTTTGAATCTAAAAAAACTCAAAAGACCAAACTTGTAGGTCTCTTCAATATCTTTCAAACAAATTGTAAATCACCTTATTCCGATGTCGGATGAGAAAGTTATAACTAAAATACTAAAAACAAAATTTTAGAATCTGTGAGTTTACAGTGTAGTCGACTACTATGCCTTGTAGTCGACTACTAAAGGGCTGTTTGGTTGATATATTTGGCATTGGGGGTTGGGCAGAAAGCCTGCCAAAAGTACTCTTTTGGCAGGCTTTCTGCCCAACCCCCAATGAGTTTACAGTGTAGTCGACTACTATGCCTTGTAGTCGACCCCTAAGCAATTTTCTGACTTCACAGAGTCTGTTTAGACTCAGTATAGTCAACTATTATAACTTGTAGTCAACTACAGATATAGTTTTTCCAGATTTTAGATTTTGAATAAGTGATTGTTTATAGCCGTTTTGTGGATGTTAATTGGGTTTAAAATTATGTCATTTCAGAGGCTATAAATAGGTTTAAACATCAGAAAACAAGCACCAAGTTTTGCACTTATAAGATTCACATATTATGTAAATGAACTCTCTAAATTTTTAGTTTTTCAATCTATTTTTTCATAAAAGAGAGTTTGTGATATTGTCTTTATTCCTATCATTCTTAGAGCTTGTTTAGACAATATTCAGAGAGTAAAAAAGATTGATAATCCACTGTTACACGTTCACATCCACATCAAGGCTTATAGGATTGGAATTATACATTGCTTCAAAGGAAGATTCCCTTGGTTTGTGAGAGGGGTTGATCTCTTGGTCTAGAGGTCGATTTACAATTAGCATGGTGTTGTCAATTGGATTTGTAAGTTGCATGGTCTTGCAAATTGGTCAGGTTTTCTTTTGATTTTATAAGGTTTCAAAATCATAGTGGAAACTCTCAAACGGGATTTGCTTGAGGACTGGATGTACACCGGGGAGGTGGAACCAGTATACATGCTTGTGTTTGTGATGTTCACTTTCTGAGATTACCATTCCTTCTTTATAATTTATAATCTACTTTGTAAACTCACCCTCTAGTGTTTAAGTGTAAAGCTTTCGTAGATTTTTATAAGAGCGCACTTTATTCTTAAGGATCACGATCCTACACTTGGTACATATACAACAAGTCAGACCCTATATTTGGTATCATAGCAAGGTGAAAGATGTCATCAACAAATACATCACAATTCAAAGAGGGACATTCCACACATGGACCACCTCTATTCGATGGCACGAACTACAACTATTGGAAGTGCCGGATGAAAATCTACCTCCAATCAATTGGCTACGAACTTTAGAACATTATGGAAACAAAATATGATAAGCCAACTACTCCTTTCACGGAATGGACTACATCTCAAAGAAACAATGCAAATTTGGATTCTAAAGCAATTAATATCTTGTTCTGTGCACTTGACAAGAATGAGTTCAACAGGGTGTCAACGGCTACATCTGCATATGACATTTGGCACACACTTGAGGTAATTCATGAAGGCATAAGTAAGGTTAAAGAATCTAAAATTTTTATTCTTGTACACATGTTCGAATTATTTAGAATGAAGGAAAACGAGACCATTGGAGAGATGTTTACAAGGTTTATTGATATCACCAATTCTCTCATCGCTCTTAGAAAAGTATACACTCAAGTGGAGATGGTGCGGAAGATACTTCGTTCTCTTACTCCATAATAGGAAAAGAAAGTTACTACAATAGAAGAAGCAAATGACTTGTCAACTCTTACAGTAGAAAATCTCATTGGAAATCGCATGGCCTATGAAGTCTATAAACACTTCTCTCGACAGTCTCACGCTTCTTGGTTGGTGAGTTGACGAAATGCTATTAGAGTAGTATTTGAACATGCATTCACACTCTGAGCGCGTGGAGGACCTAATACACCAGTTGTTGGGTTGGAGTTGGTTGCCTTTGGTGCCACAGAAGCTGGTTGGGAGCGAAATGATTGGCTCGGTTGCTTGTGTAACCGATTTTGTTCCTCGATTAGTCGAGTGACTCCTATTGTATCTGCCAAGGTCTTGGGTTGCTTAATTTTTATATCGAGGCGAATGTCATCATGAAGTCCTGCAATAAAACAACCAATGAGAAAATTTTCGGGTAGGCCGTCAACGCGATGAGAAAGCTTTTCAAAAGCTTCCTGATAAGTTGCAACGGTTGAGTCTTGTTTAAGCCGAGTTAGGGCTTCCGATGGGTTTTCGTAGTCTGTTGGACCAAAACGGAGAAGGACAACTTTGGTGAATTCATCCCATGTAAGTGGTCCGTGAAATTTCGTCAACCACCGGTGCCATTGTAGGGCGATGTCATCAAGATAGAAGGATGCTAGCGGAACTCGTTTGTCAGAGGTGATATTTTTGAAATCAAAATATTGTTCTGCTTTGTAAATCCAGCCAGTTTGGTCCTCACCCTTGAACCTTGGAAAGAGCAATTTGAGGTGTTGCTGACGGTGGTCATTATTGGTGGTAGAACGAGCAGCCTGTGGAGAATGTGAGGATTCTCTAGGAGCAAATGGATTAGTTTCAAGATTATTAGTATGTGGGCTCCGGACGATTTGTAGAGCTTGAAGTTCTGTTAACACCATTTGGAGTGTAGCATTAATTTTATCAAAGTTGGACTCATGTCGTGTTAAGATTTCATTAACCTGATTATGGAATTCGGCATTCATTTTGCCGCGAGTATCCATGGTCAAAACTTGGCTCTGATACCAATGATGAGGTTGAATTTGATAGAGGAAGAAGAAGAGGAACAGAGGAAGAAGATAAAAAAAAAGAGCTAGAGGATAAGCAAACAAGAATTCTCATTCATACCATCATCTCCATTACAGCAACTATATATAACTACACTAATATTATCTCTACCCACTAACACCACTCTTCTCTCTATAGCTACCCACAAAACATAACTATCTACTAAGTAAAACACAAGTTATACAACTACCCACTTATCCACGTTGTGAATGGTGGTGGCACGTATCACATGCATACAACAGTTACTCTTTCTATAGCTACCCACAAAACATAACTATCTACTAAGTAAAACACAAGTTACACAACTACCCACTTACCACATTGTGAATGGTGGTGGCACGTATCACATGCATACAGGAGTTTCTCTCTCTCTCTCTCTCTCTCTCTCTCTCTCTCTCTCAAAATCTCTCAAAATATGTTAATAAATGGATCGAAAAAATGTTGAAAAGTGGATTGAAAAATGATCCTGATATATATATGTTTGTGTGTGTAGTGTTGGATTAATGCAACCAAGAACCTTATATTAATTATAAGGTATTCACTCTAATGATGTGGGAACCTGATTTAATCAGATTGTGGTATGTATATACTCTATACTCACTAGTAGAAAAACGAGCAACCTAGATGAAATTTTTTGTCTAGGTTGCTCCACTATCCATCTAGGTTGGTTCACCTAGACAGAATTCCATCTAGTTTGCTCCGTCTAGTCTGTTTTTGTCTACGTTGATTTAAACTAGACAAAAATCTGTCTAGATAGTCAAACTAGACGGAAATCAACCTAGACGGAAATCTGTCTAGGTTGGTAACCTAGACGGATTTCCATATAGGTTGTAATAATACCAACCTAGACTGAATTCTGTCTAGATTGATCTATCTTAGACGGAAATTCCGTCTAGGTTGATATTTTTACAGTAAAAAAATTATTTGCAATTTTTAATTCCCTATACAATTACATTATATACATGAATACATCTAACCATCCAAATATAATCAAAATTCATAACAATTCCATTAATAACCAAATATAATTAAACCATCCAATGCACATATCCAACAATTCTATTATACACAATTCACATATCCAATCATCCAATCCAAAATATACATCAACCAATTCCATCCAATATATACATCCAATCACATGTTCACTAGTAATACACATGAATAATATAGGGTACACGACATGAATAAAAATAGAGTGCTAACAAATAAAACTGTTTAATTTATTAAAAAATAAAAAAACCTCAACTATCATCGTCGTCGATAGCATCTCTATCCTGGTTACGAGAACGGGTACTGCTCCCTCTCATATCTCCACTCTGAATGTGGATGATCTTATGCTTATGTCGGGTGAAGCTCCAACACCATGCAGAGGATATCTTCTTCTCCTATTATTAGGGAGAAATAAAATTAGATTTTTCTTTCGAATTCAATAATGTAAACAAATATAAATAGGAACGTAGCATTCAAATTGAATCGATTTTTTACCATACATACCTATTATGTCCCATTACGTTCTGTGTGAGAATGATGTTCTCCTCTGTAGAAAGCATATGAAGGTTTTGGCTCGCCTTGTTTCCCCTCCTGCGACATCCTCATTGATGCAGCCTCCTTGGATGCAGTCTCAAATCCCGCCTAAAACACAAATATATAGTTAATTCAAGGTAAAGACCATATTATTTGTGTTCTAGTTTTCTCGTAATATTAACAACGAAATAGAGTTAATAATACTACTTAAGATATATATAAGTCTCACCACCAACTCGAGATTTGCCTTGATCTTTTCCTGATTCTTCTCCTCACCCCTATACCTATCACGGAAAGTACCATACGCCGTTTTTACCTTCAAGTGTATCGGTATTTTTTATTTTCCCTGACATATTATATATTTATGAGATTTCGTAATCATACTAAGCATTAAGATCATTTAAACTTTAAATGATATATACCGTATCCTGGCAATAAACATCCTCCAGAGTGGCATAGGAGTGTGCGCCTAAGTGGTGGTCATGCAGCTTTTTCCTTCTATTCTCTGACCCTTTCATCGATTTATTCTTTAAAAAATATATTTTAGTAAATATGCAATGAAATAATATCTTAAATTTATAAAGTAGTTTTTATGAAACTAACCTTGGCGGCATCGTTGTCCCAATACATGAGGAGAGCCGTGAAATGAACCTCGTCAACTCGGTCATCGAGGTTTAAAAACTTCTACCAGTCCTCTTCATATCTGTCATAGGTAAAGTGTTTGATCTCATGCTTCCATTGTTTGAGGACTGCTTCAACCTTGACATTAAACACATAATTCCAAGCCCCCTCAAAGTCCTCAAGGCAGAAGCATTCCTGTAGATTTACATACACATTCAGTTAGGATAATTTAATATCAATTACTAATTATTAATAAATAAAAAGCTAAAGCAATATGTAGTTACTATAAGCTCAGTCCATATCGCCTCGTATGCGGTCCATGATAGTTCTCGGAAGTGAAAATAAGGGTTGATAATAAAAATCTGGAGTACTCGGTACATCCCTCATATAAGTCCTTTTCACTATCTTCTAGTAGCTCCATTATTCACTTAATTTCCGTGGAGGAATACATATCATCAGTATTTTCGGTACTTTCAACATCTCCTATCTCTTTAGCTTCAACTTAGATAACTACAAGAAATTACGTTTTTAACGAAGGGATTTCCCTTCGTTAAAGAGCTGAAAACATTCGTTATTGTATGCCAATGACAGGAAAAAATCCATTCATCACCCGTCGTAGAAGCCTTCTTCACTAAAGTGTCACGAAGGTTATAATACCTGTTATTATAGAGCCTACAATGATGGAACATATTACCGTCGTTCATATCTACGACGGTAATTATCACTGTCATTACCATCAGTGACGGGAACTTTTTACCATCGTTATTGTAAAATGACGGTTTTTTATTCTCGTTGTTGTTGTGTAATGATGGTTTTGTACTCCCGTTGTTATTGTTTAACAACGAGTGACAACCCCGTTGTTGAAGACCAATTAATGATGGTTGGATATCATCGTAAAAGTTCTCATTGTGGGTAATTAATAACCCATTAACGATGGTGCTTTCCCTTTATTGATGTACTAAATACGATTTATGAAACTGTCATTATAGACTATAAAATTTTAATATACATTAATGATAGTTTTTCCATTCATAGGAAACTATCATAGAAAACATTCATATTATTCTCAACATGACACTGAGATTCACAACACAAATATATTAAAAATACCTAATAATGAATAAAAGGGAAAACAAAAACTTCATTCATTAATAACATCAATAAATAAAATTACATCTTCCTCATATATTCAATACTAATAACAAGAGTTAATATCCCAATTGTTCTAAAAAAATACATGAAATTATCTAAAGCAAATTAAAATAAAAGTCTGGGAAAGACACATTTTTTCATCTCTAATCATTTTCAAAAAAAAAGACTCGAGCTACCCCCTCTCCTAATCTTGGATAGCCTGAAAAATAAAAAATATCACATAATTAAGAAATATCAATTAAGCAAATATTGTTTGATTAAGTAAAAATCATATTTTTCTCTAGTGCAAGTAGTCAGTCATAAAAGTATATAAGAGATTTTATAAAAATAATTATCTAGTCTTGCACATGTTCTCGAGTTTGAGGAGTCAATGAAGTATTAGATTGTTGCCTAAAAAAAGTTCATGCATAGGTTTCACTTGTGACTCTAAGTCAGACATCTTTTGTTGTTGATGATGTTGTTGTTGCTCCTGCTCATCTAAGCGTTGTTGAAGTATCTGGTTCTTTCTCTTCTCTTCTATAATTCGTGATTCCAGATCAGATCGACTAGAGAGTGGTCCTTTTAAATCTTTCAAAGTAGTCTCGCCACCAAATACAGTGATGTGACCATGAGATTGCTTCCCTCAAAAAATTTAAAAGTATAAGATCTGAATACATGCTGGGTACCTCGAGTCCTCTGGTCATTCTCAGCATCAGCAAATAAATCCCTGACATTTTTCTCTGCCTCGTCAACAAATTTGCTTAAGACTTCAGGCCCATTGACAATCTAAATTCTCCCAAGGTGTTATTAATTAATAAGTATGCAATAATTTTTTTTAAAGGAATCAACCTCGATACCAAAAAATATTGATACAAGCTTCAGCATAGCACTAAAATAGTACTACACGTAAATTCTAATGATGGGTAAATTCTTAAGCCATAAAATGAATTCATTAACCTTCTATATACTAGTTTTTGCTATACAGAAAATTGTAGAACTAATTTTCACTGCAAGCAAGTAACAGCGAACAACTAACAGCTTTATGAGACAAACTAGTGGAAATAATAATACAAAACTTTGGTTCCTTCCCATTTAATAGTTTCCCTATTGACGATCGAGCCATAAGGGTTTTGCCGGTACCTGGAGCCCATAAAGCAGCATTCCCTTGACATGCTTGATACCCAATCTGCAGTATATGACCATCAGTCATTATCACATATATGCAGCAAAAACTTCTATCCCCAATTCTGTCAGAAAACTCGAGAAGCAAATGCCCTTCTGAAGATGTCAGTGAATTCCTCACTTAGTCCTCCTATCCCCAGCTTCTGAAGGTTAAACTCTTTCTGTCAGAAAATATTGTCGTTAGCAGCTTCACGTTGATTAATTACCTGCAGAAAGACACATTACAATAAATATTGAAGTTACCATCACAAAGGATCAGCACTATCTAGTATAATAGAGAATTTGCAGGGGGAATAAAACAACCTTTTAATCCAGAAGATAAGAAACACCACATGGTGAATAAAAAGAAAGAAAATAGATGGTACCTTAATCCCAGAATTTGGAATAGTTTCAAAAACAATGTATGTATCAGGAGTAATACTTCCTCTCTCCAAACCTTTAGATTTATCAGCACCTTCAACCATAGCCTGATTAACTGTAAAGATATAGTTTGCTCCACATAATTCAAATAACACTCTCTGACCCACTGTCACAACCTGCATGTCATGTGAATACCTCTGTATTAAGTAAGACAATAACAACTTTGTTAAGGAAGTACACAGATATACAATTAGTTTTCAGTCATTTGAGTTCCAAATATCCCAAAAGAAAGTAGCTCCTAACAAGGCAAAAAGACTGCAAGTAATGGAGAAAAACTGTGCAAATTTGAACCACCACAGAGGACAACACACTACTGTTAGTAATTAGAACAAATTCTAAGCACCTTCAGTTGGGAGAAGAAAAAACTTCTGTACACAAGATATTCACAAAATGACCTCTCATGAACTTTCTAAACAAAGCTTGAAATTTTTGTTTCAGTTTAGTCAGCTCATGAATTCTTTTCAGAGTAGGTTTCTGCCTCCATCAGTATTATTATTCCGTGGTGTTATGGTAATTCATCATACAGAGATAAAGAGGTCGAGAGAACGTCTCCATAAGCTTAAAGAGGGCGTGGTTCAAACCAACTCAGAGGCTCAAAAGCCCAGTCAAGGTCAGATCTCTCGGCCAGCTGAGCAGACAAGCCACCGTTCGACCAAGGGTCATTATGACCGACTCGAAGTGCGAGATCAGTCGCCCCCTCGCAATTAAGACTACTCCTCGAGCAGACGACTCGACCATATGCTCGACCCAAGGCTCGCTCGACTATCGGGTCGGCAAATCATAATGATGGCTCACAGATCAACCCGCCTCGACTAAATGGATAAGATCCGACCAAACTCACTTCAGATGTCAATCAACACAACAGTATTGACATGTCCCATCAAGATCTCCATTCTGACAAACCTCGTGCCTAAGTCGATTATTCTGCTTATAAGTCACTTCTCAAAGATTGCCATGATGCTCTCCTGTGCACGAGTGACTCCTCCTCTAATCGTCAGCCGCCATCTGGAGAGAGAGGGACGACTAAGAAGCCGGCCTATTCTATGCCCTGCCTCTTCTGACAAATCCAGAGTATTGAGAAGTCATTTCTCTCCTGTACCTGAGTAACCTCCCTTCCAATCGTCAGCTGACATCTGGAAGGAAAAGGATGACTCAGCAGCTCTATTGCTCACCTCTCAACATTCATGTGTATAGTCAAAGCCGAGGGTCAACCTCTCAGAGATAAGGGACTATAAAAGGAGGAGAAAAGAGGAACGTAGGGGGCAAGTTTTTTTGGGAAATTCTTTTTCACAAAAACAAGGAACCTACCTTGGTTAAAAAAGAACTAATAAACTCTCAAAAGAGTACGCTCCAAGGACCTCAATGGCCCAAGGACCTTCCCTCAAACCCCACTCAAGCTCTCAAACTGACTTGACCGTCGAAGGTACTACGGGGAAAACGGTCCCCGTCCTCCCAAGGGTTTCTTCTTGTGTAGAAAAATCAGGAATTCCAGTCAAAGGATCGGGCGTAAAATCGGAGGGGGAGTCGGTCCCAACATTCATCCTCTCCATTCTCCTCAGCGTTGCCAGGATCGAAACTACATCCTACGACGGAGACCCCTCATCGACTGTTTGTTCACGAATATCAACAGTTTGGTGCCCACCGTAGGGCCTACTCTCTTCTCTGAGAAGAAATGCCCAATTCTAAGACGGTGCCTGATCTTGTTCATCCTTGAAGAACACTAGAATCGCACCATTCAAGCTAAACAAAGCCTGGAATCGCATCATTCAAACTAAGGAGGATTAGCCTATGGCTATGAGGAGCCAATGTAGATGTAGCCCTCGAGGGCTCCAACAGCTTTATGGGGAGTGTTTGCCAAGTAGAACCCCGAAAGCCCTCCTAAGAAAAGACACACCACTATGGTGCTTGTCTGGCTTGAAAATGAAGCACATGCTTCTAATTGCCGCCACAGATGAAAAACCCCGCCACTTGAACAGCCAAGAAGCCTGGGGTTGGATCGCAAACAGAACCCCAATGGTTACGACAGTGTTATTGAGGCGCGCGCCCCGGGCGCGAGGCGCTTCAGCCTGGGCGAAATGCGCCCCGCACGCGAGGCGGGGCGCTGCACACAGCCTCGCGCGCGCCTCGCGCGCCTCCCTCGCGCGCGCCTCGCGCGCGCCTCGCATGTTATGTAACATACTCTTTCTTCTATTTTTTTTAAATAATTTACATAATTACATATTTATATCATGTAACATACTCTTTCTTACTAGTTGCTAATCTATTTTTATCTTTTCATGTTTAACCTATAAAAAGGAAACAATAATTAGTAATTTAATATACTTGTTTGCTAATTGTAACTTCCTTCTCTAATTAGCATGCTAACTAGCAAATTATGAACATGTAAATATGTAATTGTTACATTCATTCTTTATCTTTTCAAGCTAAGTAGCAAATATCAAATAAGAATACTAACTAAAAAATTATAAACAGTCATGTTTGTTAATTATATTTCTTAGTCTTTTTATGTGACAATTTATAAACATATGCTCATAATTGTTAATCACTTAATTTGATGATTTAAATACATGTTTCTTGTATCTTTTTTGTTACTTTAAAAATTCAGTTAGCATAATTTGATGATTTAAGTTGATATTCTCATAATTTTGGATGTAGGTAACTAATATGTTGCTTATATGTTTCTGTCTTATGATGTTGGCAAATATTAATTTGAGTTATGCGCCTCAGTTAGTGAGGCGCGCGCCTTGTTGTGCGCCTTGCGCATGATGCGCGTAAGGGACCTTTGCGCCCCGCATTGCGCCTTGCGCCTCGATAACACTGGGTTACGATCAAATCCAATATCACTCAAGCTCCCGTCGGTAATGACTCCCCTAAACAAGGAGCAGCGATTAAGTCTGTGGTCGGCTCCTCGGACCATCACTGCCTTCAAAGGAGAGTCTTTCCTCACCAAGGATAAGATTGCGGGAAAAACTCAAGGGCTCGCCATCTGGTCTTCTTAGGAAGATTAACAGCCCCGACACCCCAGCAAATGCTCAGAACCGCCAGAGTCGAAGTAAGACCTAGTGGTCGAAGAATGTGACTTGCACTCCCCCTACGAGAAGGCTCCTCCCCTCACAAGATGGTCTGACCGTCGCTATCCTTGAAAACCCCAAGGAGAGGTCATGATCCCATCAAATTCTAGGGAACAAAGCTTTGGAGCATGGGGTTCTCACCAACAAGAAGCCCCCATCACAAAAGTTGCCTGGGGCCCCTCCGTCGAGCAACATCTTCCAAAAGCTCAAACAACGAAATATCGAGCTTAACAGAGCAACCGACGGTGGACAAGCAAGATCTGTTGAAAATCATCATATCCACCATCGACCAGCAAGGACCTCAGCAAAAACTCAAAGTTCATAAAGGTCCTTGACAGGTGAGATGGCGAATATGTCGACAGCTCGACGACATCTAAAGCCAAACAGCTCACCATCAAGAGAGAGAGCAATCCCTGATTTTGGGCGTTCCTCAGTTTAGCAACAAAGACAGCCAATGGAACAACAGCTTGCTCTCAAAAAGAAACAGCCAAGGAAATCTTCGTCTCAGTGACCCTGTCCCTAACAGGAAGCCGTCTCCAAAATGCATTTGAGCAAAGAAACAAGATTTTGACATCACACGAGCGATGAGAATGAGTGAATTGTACTCTATCATGTATAAATTTCAAAACAATCAATGAAAATGTCAAATGAAAAGAAAGACATCAAAATACCTGGTCATCTAGACGATCGACTTCTCAGCCAGCATCAAGACCTTGGTACCTTCTCAGGATAAAACCAAGGTAAAACGATTTCTCAGTCGGAATAAAGTCCTTGATACTTAATCTGGGTAAAACCAAGGCAAAACGACTTCTCAGTCGGTATCAAGACCTTGGTACCTAATCTGGGTAAAACCAAGGCACGACGACTTCTTAGTCGGCATCAAGACCTTGGTACCTAATCTGGGTAAAACCAAGGCACGACTTCTCAGTCGGTATCAAGACCTTAGTACCTAATCTGGGTAAAACCAAGACAAAACGACTTCTCAGTCAGAACAAAGCCCTTGGCTCTTCCTAACGAATAAGTCCAAGGCAAAAACGACTTCTCAGTCGGCATCAAGACCTTGGTACCTAATCTGGATAAAATCAAGGCACAACGACTTTTCAGTCAGCATCAAGACCTTGGTACCTAATCTGGATAAAACCAAGGCACAACGACTTCTCAGTCGGCATCAAGACCTTGGTACCTAATCTGGATAAAACTAAGGCACGACGACTTCTCAGTCGGTATCAAGACCTTGGTACCTAATCTGGGTAAAACCAAGGCAAAACGATTTCTCAGTCGGAACAAAGCCCTTGGCTCTTCATCTATGAATTAAACAAGGCACAACGACTTCCGAGTCGACTCCAAAAACACTTGGCTCCCTATCAAGAGTAGCCTAAAGTATAAAGACTCCACAAATCGACAATCAAATCTATGGTTCCCCGCCAAGATAAACCAAAGGCAGACCCAGGGTCAACTTCCATAAAGTTATTTTCCGACCAAACAGGAAAAACAAAGACATTGCCACCCATCCCGCGCAGGGTATCTAATCGATAAGGATCAACACTCTTCATGAAAAGAAAATGGAGCCATGACATGGTCAACTGTTCTATCAAGCCTGTGTAGTTCTCAAGAGCAGAAGACAGGAGAAATCATTGCTCATTCAAGCAGTTTCTTACATTCTTCACCAAAAGACCAAACAAGGCCTAAAAAAATATTCTCTAAGGCTCAACATCATTGTCCCCAGAGTCCTTCCTCATTTTCTTCAAAGGCCTCCTGGAAGAACTCGACCCCTCTGAGTCGGTCCCTCTTTTACAGACCTTCATTGGTGGAGAAAGGGTCATCGCTTTGGAATCAGAGAAGGACGAGGAGGACCACCCCATCTCAAGAAACTCTTCTCTATCCAGAGCTTTGGCCTCCTGAAGACCGAGGCAATACCAAAGCTTCTCAAGATCTCCAGCCTCGTGATCGCTAAGAGCCCTCGGCTCCAACACTTTCTTTTGCACCTCAGGCCAACCTGAGCAGGACAAAATATTGTCGACGCCAAACACCTAGACGAAGAACCTTTTCCATTCTTTGTCTAGCTCTGGAAAATCACCCCGACAGTGGAAAAAATAATATGGGTCTCCCTCAGAAGACCCCACACTAACCACGTGCCCCAGCAAACTAATGCTGGACACCACTCCTGCCTCAGAGCAGGTGTCTATAAATGCCATCAAGATATAGATAGCGTGGGGATGGAACTAGCAGTGGGAAACCCACAAAGTCGCAAAAATCTCCCTTACGAAAGAATGCAGCGGAAGGCGCAATCTACACTGAAGGTGCACCCAATAGAGAGGTACTCGATCCTCTCATGCATATGTACCGGAGTAAGACTGTTCGGTCCCCCTATGGTCATCGCTCAAGGAATGTCGTACTCATCATGCAACCGAGTTGCTTCGTTCAACGTCATTCTCGACCTAGATAGAAACAAGACCATGAGTTTTTTCTCACAATCATTCTGAGGAAAGGCCATACTAAGATCTCTTGAGTCGAAAGAAAGATTGACGAAGAAAAATGTTCTTGGTGAAGAATACTCTTTCAATAGCACCAAGAATTATTTATAAGCCTCCAAAGGAGCATGCAGAAGAATTCAAGAGGCACCCTCCTAGAGCAATTAAGGAAGATCCATTTTAAAAATCGAAAATGAATCGCTCGGGAAGGATAACCGCCACTCGTAACTCACATCAATCAATTGGTGAGTATGGCACCTTTCACTCTACCCACGACGCCTCATTTCCTAAAAAACGGTTCCCAATGCCGACCATCAGAGCATAGAGATTGACAGTTAGCAAGACCTACGCCACGTCTCCAGCCACGATCAACTAGCCAAAAATCCCCAAGATATGGAGCAAACTTGTATCTATTTCACTCGGACCCGACTAAAGTCAACTTCGAATGAAAGGGGCCAACTGTTATGGTAATTCACCATACAGAGATAAAGAGGTCGAGAGAACGTCTCCATAAGCTTAAAGAGGGCGTGGTTCAAACTAACTCAGAGGCTCAAAAGCCGAGTCAAGGTCAGATCTCTCGGCCAGCCGAGCAGACAAGTCACCGTTCGACCAAGGGTCATTATGACCAACTCGAAATGCGGGATCAGTCGCCCCCTCGCAATTAAGATGACTCCTCGAGCAGACGACTCGACCATACACTCGACCCAAGGCTCGCTTGACTATCGGGTCGACAAATTATAATGATGGCTCGCAGATCAACCTGCCTCGACTAAAGGGATAAGATCCGACCAAACTCACTTCAAATGTCAATCGACACAACGGTATTGACTTGTCCCATCAAGATCTCCATTCTGACAAACCTCGTGCCCAAGCCGCTTATTTTGCTTACAAGTTACTTCCTAAAGATTGCCATGATGCTCTCTTGTGCACGAGTGACTCCTCTAATCGCCACCCGCCATCTGGAGAGAGAGGGACAGCTAAGCAACCGATCTATTCTATGCCATGCCTCTTCTGACAAATCTAGAGTACTAAGAAGTCATTTCTCTCCTGTACCTGAGTGACCTCTCTTCTAATCGTCAGCCGACATCTGGAAGGAAAATGATGACTCAGCAGCTCTACTGCTCACCTCTCAACACTCCTGTGTATAGTCAAAGCCAAGGGTCAACCTCACAGAGACAAGGGATTATAAAAGGAGGAGAAAAGAGGAACGCGGGGGGTAAGTTTTTTTGGGAACTTCTTCTTCACAAAAACAAGGAACCTACCTTGGTTAAAAAAGAACTAATAAACTCTCAAAAGAGTACGCTCAAAGAACCTCAATAGCCCAAGGACCTTCCCTCAAACCCCACTCAAGCTCTCAAACTGACTTGACTGTCGGATGTACTATGGGGGGAACGGTCCCCACCCTCCCAAGGGTTTCTTCTTATTTGTGCAAAAAGATCAGGAATTCTAGTCAAAGGATCGGGCGTAAAGTCAGAGGGGGAGTAGGCCCCAACATTCATCCTATCCATTCTCCTCAGCGCCGTCATGATTGAAACTGCATCCTACGACGGAGACCCCTCATCGACTGTTTGTTCACGAACATCAACACATGGGATATAATGAACAAAGAATCATAATAAAAACAAAATGCTTGTTTTGTTTCTCCTAGACTCTCTCACGCCCGTGCACTGGTACCCTTGCAACTTCCATTTGTATAGTCAAACCTACATATACTTTCAGGCTTGCAGAAAGAGGCCGGAGTCGACAATCCAATTACATCTTAGAGAAGAAACCCCATACATGCATTCTACCAAACCCAATCCAACCCCTCCACACCCCCCCCAACCCAAAAAAAGTAAAGAAAAGAGCAAAAAAGCCAATCAAACAAAAGAGAAACTCTTGCAACATATTATGCGTGACATTACCTTACCTGGTCAGAAAATCTTTTTCGCAGCTTTTGAGCAACATCTATCTACAGAGTAAATATCGTAATATGATCAGAAAAATATTGAACTCAATAGATCAAATAAGATCATAATATAAATAAGTTCTCGATCATCTCGAGAAAGCTCACTTCTTCAGATCTATAAGTCTTTTTAACAAACTTTAACTCCGCTGAAAGCAATGCCAGTTCAAAATTATCTGACAGGATAAACTTGATTTCGTAAATCATAATGGGCAATAAGAAGATTAATAAAAGTATAACAACCAATATATTAAAAAGGAAGAGGAGGCGACGATGGAGCGACACTGGGGCGACGACGGGTCATGGGGCGGTGTTGGCGCGGGCTGGGGCAACGATGGCGCGGGAGAGGCGACGCTGGGGTGCGCACTAGGAGCACAGGGTGACGGCTGGGCGGCGCTGGCCGCTGGGGCGATCGCTGGCAACTGAGGGCTGATGCTGGGGGCCGACCAGACTTCGCCGACGGCTACCGGCTAGGATTAGGCGGAAGAAGCGACGAATAGCAGAGGATGAACAGTAACGTGATTTTGTTATCTAGGGTTTATTAGTTTATTAGTTGCGGTTAGAAGGAGGTTTGAGTTTCGGGTTATCTATATTATTTTGATTAATACTCCTGTTATGATTAGTCATTATGATTAATGAAGGTAACTGAATCCTTCGCTTTTCAGGAGACCCAATAACGGTATTAGAACCAAATTAATGAGGCATTTGAAAACCATTATCCCATCTCACATCATTACTCTAATATTTGTGATCACTCAATGAAGATTTTTAAAACCGTCGTTATTTTATACACATTAATGACAGTTAATGATAGTTAAATAGTCCTTTCACTAATTTTGATCATTAAATACCTGATTTCTTGTAGTTATCGTCTTCACTTTTATCTCTGATATCATCTTCGATATTATCATCGACATCATATTTTGTAGGTCGAGGAAAAATATCATTCAACATTGTTTTTGTGTCATCTATCAATTGGCCACCAGACGTACCAACACGTACATTTGGATCCTCATCTTCAGTGATATCTTCCCCATGATAGTTCTAATATTTATATTTTTTATCAAAACCTGATTTCATTAGGTGGATCCATATATCATTCCTATTCAGCAGCTTCATATTCCTACACCTACAACAAGGACAATACATAGCATCGTTTTTTAAATTTCTCGGATTCATTTCAGTATAACGCATGAAGGCGTCACATCCCTCCTTATATCGTGTGTCACGAAATCTATAAAGTCGTGGGATACCTATCCATGATTTGTCAGGAAGTATCATCATCTGTAAATTATATATAATTATTAATTACGATTAATCTCACAACTACTAGTACATTCATGACTCTTATGCATTCAACACACATCAAACATACGTTCATATATCATTTAACTAAGTACACATATCTAGCGGCTGTCATAGGAAGACTTCTATCCATTAAGAATATAGTCGTGCTTGCATCCAACTTCGTATAATTTGTATATTTTCATTTTTTGAAAATTTCGGCAGCACCTACCCGTTGTTCTCCCTATACACTATGCGGATGTTATTATGCGTATCAACAATAGCCTGAAATGCAGAACAGCATACGCTTATTGTACACGGAGAACAACGAATACGTGCTGCCTAAACTTTTAAGAATAAAAATATACAAAGTATACAAAGTTAGATGTATACACTATTATATTCCTAACCCGTCCGAGAAGGGCAGATCCAATAATTACGAATTTCAGTACCAATTCTTTATTCGTATAATATAAAATAAATGATCATTTCCGGGAGAAGACTTCATCTTCTACCCAAATATGAGTCTCTATCTTATATTATAAGTCCAAAGAATTGGCCATAATTATTGGACGAAGTCTAGGGATAACGTTATTTTTTTATTCACCTAAATTGGATTATAACACATTATTAAAAATTATAATGTGTTATATATCACTCTATTTTTAAAAAAAAATTATTTCACATATTTTCACATCACAAACTTAAATATTCATATATACTTAACTATTCACAAACTTAAATATTCATATTATTAATTCAATGAGTTTGATGGAGACTACATTCTGTTAGTCCTCCATAAACATCAACATGTATATAATTTTGTCGAATAGAAAGGAAAACTATCTGCATTCCACAATATTCCACTCTTCGATTTCACACATGAATGAAACCATACTAACCCTCCATTCAAATGTATTAATAACCGTTCATTGATAATTCCAGGAAATAACCACGAAATTAATAAAAAATTAGAAATTACCTTAAGTGTTGCAACTGGAAGAGGGGGGCTGGATGCAACGCAGGAGAATTTTCTGTTTGAGGAGAAAATCTAGGGTTAGATGGTCAAATTAGGGGTTAGGGTTTTGAGGAGAGAGAGGAGGGTACTTACAAGTTGTTGGCCGCGGCGGTGGACGAGGACGAGGAGGGCGGTCGGAGATCTGGGGTAGGAGGGCGGTTGTCGGTGGGTTAGGGTGAGCGCCGAAGGGGGAGCGTGGCGGGGGGGGTAAGGGTGAGTACCGAGGAGGGGTAGGCGCGGAGGGGCGCGTCGAGTGGGGGCGGGTTAGGGTGAGCGCTGAGGAGGGGGGAGCGCCGAGGTGTGGGCGCGGCGGTTAGGAGAAGCGCCGAGGGAGGGAGCACGCGAGGTGGCAACGAGTTAGGGTGAGCGCCGGGAGGGGGTTGAGAGGGGGATTTGGGAAGGGGCAGTGGCGGCTGGGGATTAGGTTTAGGTTTTTTTTTAGTTTTTGTTTTTTAAGATCAAACCTCGACAGAAATTTCCGTTAAGTTTTTTAATTTAAAAAATTTTTACATCGTCTAGGTTGTCATTATAGACAGAAATTTTCATCTAGAATAAATCAAACTAGACGGAACAATCTAGACGGAATATTTCCGTCTATTTTGCCTCAACCTAGATGGAAATTTTTTCTGTCTAGGTTATTCCGTCTAGTTTGGCTGTTTTGCTACTAGTGACTATTACATATTGTCTTAAATTATGTGACCTAGGTATATTTTCATGAAAAATATACAATAAACATTGCTTAATTTACTAACCAATCAACATTGAGAAATATAAAATAAAATAAAAAAGAGAGAAAAGAAGGGAAAAGCAATCATGTGAAGGGACAGATAACAGACAATTGGACGGAAAATAACTTTCCGATGCATTATAGTGTCCTGGCTATGTGATGAAAAGGTTGAGCACAGCCTGAAATTACTAGGGTTGTACTACACAAACTCATCACAGCCGACCCAAATTCTGATCAAACAATGGACTGGGTTTTTAGCGGGCTACAATAGAAAGCGTTGTACTTACTCCGCGTACCTCTCCCTATCTAAATCTCCCCTTTATCAAAACTCAAATAATTCATGTTTTGTTCATAGGCAAGTTATGAATTTAACAAATCCATACATAGAAATATATATTTTCTAAATGTTTGTTATTCAAAATTCAGAGAATTTGTGTATCATTAAAATAGATTAGAGCAAGTTATGAACATGCATATATCTACGTTCAATAAGCTATTAACATTATAACACTAATTATCATTTACATAATTTTGAAACAAATATTATGAATGTATATACTCGGTATTGGAGAAAGGGAAGGCGTAAATATTTTCATGACTCGTACAAAAATTATATTCATAGTTGAACCCTAATCCTTTTCAGTTGGTGTGAATTATTATTATTTTTTCCTTCACGATATCGATAATTCAGAGAGATTTATCTACATGTCTGCTGTTTTTTCACATTATAAATTTTGATTCGGATAATGTTCTCACTTCTAAGGGCATCTACCGGACCTTTTGCTTTCATGGCTTTATTTTTTTGTCTTTACTTTTTATTTTCCCCCTTGCGAATGGACGGTGATGTGACTTTCTAGACTTTTTTTATTATAGATATAAATATTTTTTGGGAAAAATGTGTCAATGCTCCAAAAAAATAAAGTGATTGTGGCTAGACCCACCGTATTATTTTTTGTGTGACAAAGCCCCAATACATGAAGTAGTTATGTTTCAGCTCCTATTTTCTTTTCCAAGACAACACAGTGAGATTTATTTACGAATACCCTAAAATGCCCTCAACTCATTCTCCCAAAACTTGCATGCCCTCTCTCTCTTCTCTCTTCTCACGCTCAAACCTTCTTAAAACAATGTCATCTCATACTTAGCAGATGCTAAAGGGGGGTTTGATCTAAGATTGGAAGAAGAAATGGAAGCGGGAGGAGGAGGAGATGTGCCAGAGGTATCACATTTCTTGATCGTAGTCTGCTTTGCTCTTGGCTCCCCCGCCGCTAGGTTCTTCTTGGACCGCCTCTTCTTCAAGGTCTCTTTCTTTATTATTACCATCATTACTTTAATCTTCCCTTTTTCTTCTTTTCAAAAAATCTTGGATCTCAGATCGAACTCCTTTGTGAAATCCTGAGGGGAGATAGAGAGGGAGGGAGAGAGGCCTAACCCATTGCGACTTACTATTAGGTCCGGGCCAACTTACAGTATCACAGATCCGTTCCCTCCTAATTTTATGCCGTCCCATTTATTTATTACAATCATTCTCAAAACAATTCATGATATGAACTTCTCATGTTTTATTATTATTATGCACTTCCCTCTCAACTTTTCAAATGTAAATTGGAAACGTATAATATTAGATGTGAATACTTCTTCCTTATGCTCCTCCTTCATTAATAATAGTGGATAATTGTATCTTTAGAGAACTATGCTCATTGGTTGTGCATTTAGCCTAGTTGCAGGTTTATATTACTAGTTTCGCGCGTAATATCTGAAGGTCCATCGACCGTATTAATGCAATTTGTGAGTGTTCTCTCAATTCAAGTCCATATGTCGGCTTAATTATGTTATACTGAGTTGAATCTACTGTTGGCCTTCTTGTTTTGATGATGTTTAACAAACAATTTACGACTAATGTTGCTTGTCTAGTGTTTGTGGTTTTCTATTTATTGTAGACAAACAACATGGTTGGAGGATGGATGGAATCGAGCATTCACGATCATATCATATGGAAGTTGGTGGAATTGTGGAGTGAAGCCTACGCAATTCAAAGTTAAAGATCAAGTTCAAGCTTCATCCGCAAGTGTACCAAGTCGAGCTTATTAAAGATCAAGATCTAGCTTGGGTAACTTAGTTTAGGTTTTATACTATGTGTGTTAAGTACCTTAAGCTCAATATTATATACACACACGTATTTGGTTTCTATGTATATATATAGTTATATATATACATGCATGGTTTTGGGTTTTCATGTTTACAAATATGAAATTACATATTTCATATTTATTATTGTGATTTGGTTTAACTACTTAGATATGAAACAAATATATTTTCATATACATACTCATATGTTTCATTTTCTTTTGTATTTGTAAAAGAATTGTATTCTTAGTTTTTAGACTTAACAATAATCATATACATATTTTATTAAGTCTACATAATCATTGTGTAAAGTTTCAAAACATGGTTTAGCCAAAATGTCAAAATTCACATGTTTACATTTTCATGTTTTGGCCTATTTTGTAAAATAATGATATTTTCATTTGGGAAGTCTTTTTTAGAAACCATTCGTTGTAGCATGTTTATTATCATGTCTACAATCATTCCCCAAAGTTTTACTTTTTTTGGTATTTATTTGATATTTTTAAACAGGGTTTTAAAATTAGCATTTCAGCTTTCAAAACATGTTTTAGCATGTATCAGTTCGCGGTCGACCGCCACGGTCAACCGCCATGAGTTCAGAAACTCATTATATGTTTTTTTGGCTCGCGGTCGACCGTGTAGTTTAGTGTTTATACTATGTGTGTTAAGTACCTTAAGCTCAATATTATATACACACACGTATTTGGTTTCTATGTATATATATAGTTATATATATATACATGAATGGTTTTGGGTTTTCATGTTTACAAATATGAAATTACATATTTCATATTTATTATTGTGATTTGGTTTAACTACTTAGATATAAAACAAATATATTTTCATATACATACTCATATGTTTCATTTTCTTTTGTATTTGTAAAAGAATTGTATTCTTAGTTTTTGGACTTAACAATAATCATATACATATTTTATTAAGTCTACATAATCATTGTGCAAAGTTTCAAAACATGGTTTAGCCAAAATGACAAAATTCACATGTTTACATTTTCATGTTTTGGCCTATTTTGTAAAATAATGATATTTTTCATTTGGGACATGTTTACATTTTCATGTTTTGGCCTATTTTGTAAAATAATGATATTTTTCATTTGGGAAGTCTTTTTTAGAAACCAGTCGTTGTAGCATGTTTATTATCATGTCTACAATCATTCCTCAAAGTTTTACTTTTTTGGTATTTATTTGATATTTTTAAACAGGGTTTTAAAATCAGCATTTCAGCTTTCAAAACATGTTTTAGCATGTATCAGTTCGCGGTCGACCGCCACGGTCGACCGCCATGAGTTCAGAAACTCATTATATGTTTTTATGGCTCGTGGTCGACCGTGGCGATCGACCGTACGTAGTCCAGAGACTTTCGTGGTCGACCATCGTGGTCGACCACCTGTTGTCCAGAGCCTTTTTATGTTTCTTTGTTGCTCGCGGTCGACCGTCGCGGTCGATCACCGCTCTGTCTTTTCAGTTCCAACAGCTATTTTTCGAGCTGTTTTCTGATGGCTTTTTGGTCTTTTCTATTGGGTTTTGCTGATGTTTTAAGAGACTATAAATACCCCATTGCTCTCCTCTTTTCAGCAAACAACCAAGAGAGTTTCTTAACCAAGTTTTAAAGAGTTTTAACAAGGGTTTTAGTTTGGTTTAAGTGTGTTTAAGAAGCTTTTAAGCATTTGTAATTTTGAGTTTGTGAAATCAATTTTACAAGAGCTTGAGGAGATCATCTATTGGTGTTTGGGCATCCAACTATTCTCCTTCCATCTCTTGTCATCTATTGAGAAGTTTCCCTAAACTCTTTTCTAGCTTTATATCTATTTGCTTGATTATCATCTTATTTAAAGCTAGTTTTACATTTGAGTTTAGTTGATTTGATATCTCATTGTTACACACACCCACATGAGCTTATCGTATTTTCATACATAGTATATTTGGGTTGGTGAGAGTTGTAACAATTGAGTGTGAGCTTTCATTGTGTTCTCATTCATATTAGAGAACAATTATTTATTGTAATTGTGCTTATTGTGAGATTCACTTTGTAATACACTTGTACACCGAGATAAGTGTGTGGCGAGAGTCGGGGATCGTCCCAAGAGGAGTGGCGTCGGTTGACGAACCTAGGGAGAGGTTGTAACCGAGTACTTGAGGGAGACACGTCTAGTTCAACACTTGAGATGGTGTAGAGTGGGATTGCAAGAGTGGTGATTGTAAAGTTTCGGTTAGCTAGAAAACCGAGTGTGAGGTGTAAACGTTGTTCGGGTAAGCGTAGAAAACTCGGTTGTGTTAGTAAATTTCTCCCCGGGAGTGGGGAGCGGAGACGTAGGACGGAAAGTCCAAACTCCGTGATCATTTGATTGTGTTTGTGTGTGTTTTGGCGTTCATTTATATTTGTGCTCATTGCTCATATCGCATTTGTCTTAATAGTTAGTTTGTCCACCACTTTGTTTACATTATTTACTCTTGTGTTGCTTATATATCCTTGCTCATATATTTGTAATATCTCATTGCTATGATATATTCATTAGTTCATATTGCTCATCCTAGCTCATATATATTGTTGTATTTCATTCTTGCTAGGATTCCTAGCTCATATATATTGTTGTATTTCATTCTTGCTAGGATAACTTGTTAATTAATTTTAATTGGTATATAATCGGATTAGATTAGCATAAGACCTCATTCTTGCTAGGATAACTTGTTAATTAATTTTAATTGGTATATAATCGGATTAGATTAGCATAAGACCTAATCACCCCCCTTCTAGGGTTTAACATCTACTATTAGTAAATTTGTATATCAATGTTTGGTTGGACGTTAAAGTCGTCACTTGCAAGCAACAGTCTAGAATATTAGTATTTCACAAATTTAATCTTTTTTATTTTATCTGGCATCATATATCTAACTAGCTTGTCACTTTATATCATGCAGTTTTAATTGTGGAATTTTCGTTCTCTTATATATGAAGGCTATAATCTGTGGTGTTGATACACTTCAAGTAACTACTCATGATGATGAATCTGATGTCATATGTGTCAAACTTACAACTGAACTTCTAGTAGAAGGATGGAAACAGAAGAATCAAGAAGAGACATTGAATAAGGATCGAAAAATGTTGTTCTAAAAATTGATTGATTGAACCAAAACTTGTGTGCATGTCTATATTTTGTATATTAATTTAGTTGTGCAAACAGTTGATGTGGATGACAAACATTACAGCAAGCTTAACCTTTATTGTTCTTATTATATTTCTGGTATTTTTGCCACAATATATTTATGTTTTGTTTTGATACAACATATATTTAACATGTTCAAATGAAAAGCTGCATGTTTACTTGAATGTCAATATGAAAAGCTAATACTTAACATGTACATTTGACAAGTTAACATATTCAGTTGCATGTTATCATGTTATAAAGAAGCTGGCATGTAACAGTGAAAATTAACGGTATTATGCGAAAAGTTAACATATTCAGCTGATAGTTAGCGTGCAAAGATAAAATATAACATGTTCGTAAGAAAGTTAACATATGCAGATGAAAGTTAACATATACAGCTGATAGTTAACATGTTCACGTGAACGTTAGCATATAAACCTAAATGTTAACATATACAGCTGAAAGTTAACATATACAGATGAGAGTTAATATGCTCACGTAAAAATCAACATGTTCATGTTAAAATCAACATTTTAGCTTAAATTTAATATATTCAGATGAAAGTTAACATTTTTACTTTAAAGTCTACAGAATTTTAAAGTCAACGTGTACAGTTGAAAGCCAACATGTTCATCTCAAAGTTAACGTAGTCAAATAAAAATTAACATGTTTAGCTGAAAGTTATCTAGCTAAAAGTAGTTGTAGCACCAAGACATTTTATAGGAAATAAAAATAGTATACCATAGCTAAACAAGTACATTACACAAAACTTCGTACATTCTTACAGCTGATATTGCTTGAGTATGCAATAGCATTTTCATAGCAGCATATTATTATTTTCGTAGCAGCATATTATCATTTTCTTACATCTGAAAGTTAACATGTTCAGCTGAGAGTTATCATCTTCAAATAAAAGTTAACATGTTCATGTTTAAGTCAACATGTTAGAATGAAAGTTAACATATATAGCAAAAAGTTAACATGTTCAGCTGAGAGTTAACGTGTTAAAGTGAAAGTTAACATGTTCACGTTGACGTTAGCATGTTCGACTGAAAATTAACATATAAAGCAGAAGGTTAACATGTTCAGTTGAGAGTTAACGATTTTAAGTGAAAGTTAACATATTCATGTTAAAGTCAACATGTTTGTCTGAAAGTTAACATATACATCTAAAAGTTAACATGTACAACTTGTAGTTAACTTTTTTAATCAAAAATTAATATGTTCAGCTAAAAGTTAACATCTTCACTTAAAAGTTAGCTAAAGAATCTGAACGTCAACGTGTACGGTTGAAAACTGAAATCACAAAGCTTACATCACACAATGCATAATTTTAAAAATAGTTTATTGATTACTTACATTTAAGTAAGAACTTTATGATTTTTTAGAAGTAGAACCATCTATATTAGCAACAGCTTATATGTGAATCTTCATACAACCAGTATTTCGATTGTGCTCCACCATGCACTTCAAATCATCTTTATTATCAACTGCAAAAACTCAGGTTTGGGTGCTTCTCAGATTTTTTTTAGAAGTAATTTCTGAGGGCAATTGCTTCAGAGTTGATTAAGTTGATTATGATCACTAATTTAGACATTATAAGGTGGGTGCGTGCATGTATGCATGTTAGTGGGATAAGTGCATGGTAATTAACTTGAGCAATCTTGTCTATACTGTCCTCATCTAGATGAACACCAAAGCACATGGTAATAAGTATATAGAAGACGAGAAATCGAGCATTCTTGAGCACCCAAACCATACCACTTGCCCCTTGGTGATAAGGGCCTCGTGGGCCAGCTCGGCACTGGTGATGACGATGAGAGCTTATAATACACGTCGTTATAGAGTCTATAACGACGAAACATATTATCGTGGTTTATATATGCGACGATAATTATCACCATCGTTACCATCAGTGACGGAAATTTTTCCTGTCGTTCATATTTATGATGGTAATTATCACTGTCGTTACCATCAGTGACGGGGATTTTTTCCCATTGTTACTGTAAACTGACGGTTTGTCATTCCTATCGTTGTGTAATGATGGTTTCGTACTCCCGTTGTTATTGTGTAACAACGAGTGAGATCCCCGTCGTTGAAGACCTATTAATGACGGTTGAATATCATCGTAGAAGTCCTCATAGTGGGTAATTAGTAACCCATCAACGATGATGCTTTCCCTTCGTTGATGTACTAAATAAGGTTTATAAAACCATCATTGTAGACTACAAATTTCTAATATATATTAATGATAATTTTTCCATTCATAAGCAACTATCATTGAAAACCTTCATATTATTCTCAACATGACACTGAGATTCACAACATAAATATATTAAAAATACCCAATAATGAATAAAAGGGAAAAAAACTTCATTCATTAATTACATCAATAAATAAAATTACATCATCCTCAAATATTCAATACTAATAACAAGAGTTAATATCCCAATTGTTCCAAAGAAAAATACATAAAACTATCTAAATCAAATTAAAATAAAAGTCTAGAAAAGACACATCCTTTCATCTCTAATCATTGTCAAAAAGAAGACTCGAGTTACCCCCATATCTACCATAGTGACTACCACCATACCCTCCATAGCCACCACCACCATAGCCACCCCGGTTGCTCCAGCCCCTTCCTCTACCTCTACCTCGAGCACGTCCTCGGCCGTAAGATTCTTTATCAAAGAGCAAGAGAAATTAATGAACGAGTACTTATAGCATACATGCTACTTTTGGGGAATATTTCCATCATTAAGAGCTGAAAATTTGCATAAACAATACCTTCAGCAACTTGATGCATGTGGTGGTTGCCTTGGTTAGTGTTGCTGTTGTTGTTGATATTGTGGCTGTTACACTTTGTATTGTTTCTTTGGCTGCTCTAAAAATACTGGTGCTTGATACCTGCTCACCAAAAGGTAAAGAAGTTGGAAGTCAACATGACATATCATTCTCCTCCATAGCATAACCTCTATCATGTTGAAGATATAAATTGTAAAAGTGAAATGCTTTAGGGAGGGGAGTTCTGGTTTAGATCATTAGGTGACAAAGTAATTGAGATTATTGATACATTGTGAGTCATCTCCAAGCTGCATGACAAAATTTTCAGACATAAGAGAACTATTCCATGATACTATTAAAATTACCTGCATAAAGAAAGTAAAAATTTAATGGACAAAACCTTCCTCTATAGGTTTCCAGACAACAATAATGCTAATCAAGCTGATAGCCACATCTTGATATAAACCAGGATTCCTTTCCGCATTCAAATAAATTGTTCAGAGCTGTAACATTGAAACACCCCAAGTCATGGTTAAAACATAAAAGAGCAGTTATTTGCATCTTTATGATCTCAGCAATGGCCACAGTTTTACTTATAGCCTGCCCCATAGCCTTCAGAACAATCGCATTTATCTTTTTCCTGTAAATGTATCACCACTATATTAATATACAAACATTAAAATTAGATATAATCATCTAATGCAACCCATCCCTGTCAATGCTCGTTATCTAGATCACTCAGTTCCACCACTATGTGTCCTCTTAGACCTTCTTTTACTCTATTTAAGCTTAAAACAGTTCTTAATGCTCTTGCATCGCTCTGAATAAATTGGACAAAAGCAATCAGTAGCCTGATGACATAGGATAACTTTGAGATCTATTATATAATTACCAAGTCAGTATTTCCATCTTCAGCACAGACAACCACAGCACGAGCCGTTAAAACATAAACCTGTTAGACACAAATAGCCGATCACATAACAGAATAGTAGTACAATCATACACTGAAAATAGATGTTAGAAAGCACTAGGAAATGTTATACAATGTATAGCATAACATTCAGGAACTTTACCAAAAGAGCATAAATAAAACCAACCTTTTTCAAATCAGCAAGAATAAGAGGACTTCCGCTTATGCATATGACAGGTGTTCCCTTGAAATCAAACTCCATTTTAGCAATATCAAGCTCCATCTCCTCCTTGTCTCTTTCCGCCATCAACAAAAAGAAAAACTTTAGAACTTTGCTCAATACATAATTTGATACTTCTCCAGGAGAATGAGAAAAAGACTGATGTTTATGACAGCTTATGTGCATTCTCCATAAACTTTTATAAAACAAATAAACTTATAAAGCAAACTAATCAAAGTGAGATAGAAATGCCTAAATTATGTGTTTGACTATATAAGATGAATGCAACCATAGAATGATCATAAGAATGCTTAATGGCATTTTGTAACAGGGTATAGGATCAATTGCATTCAAAAGATGCATACCTTTACTCTAGTCCTCAATCTGATGCAGATTCTGGGTCAACATCAGGTATAGTTCAATACAAATCTTTTTAAGATTAAATGTAATTTGGTTGTTTGAGTCCCAAATGTAGTGATGACTTAATACCAAAGGCCATCAGCATCAAGCAGAAATGGAAAAACGAAAAACTATTATCGTACTGGATATATAATTGTGCTAATTGCGGACACACCCTTTGTACTAATGAGTTTAGTTGAAGTTAAAATCGAATGATATTATTAAACGCCAATTTTCTGCTAAATTTTATTTTTTCAATTATATAAATGTGTAAGCTAAACCTAACATAGGGTGATTGCTCTCTTCCTTGGTTTCTAAAGACAATAAACACTACCATTTGGTAGTCTACCATATCATTATTAACAGAATAACAACTTCTTATATTGACCAGGCTTTATAAAATCTGACCAAAATCAGTAGCTTTGAGTGGTGAATCTTCTTTTGTTGACTTAAAAAGGAAGTTCTGCAAAAATGTGTATTTCACGTTATTAAGGATCAAAGAACTTCCAGTTTTTTTCTCAGACAACTATAAAAAAGATCGGTGTTTGGCTAATCTACCTCTGGCTTCATGTCTTGATGCACCAAACCATGCAAGTGACACTCAGCTGCCACTTTAAGCATTTGGCGGACTACTATTGCAGCATCCTTTTCAGTATAACGAATATCTTTCCTGCAATTATAAAAGCACCTCAGGTAAGTATCCATCTTATCCATTTTTGATAAAGTATAGCAGACGAGCATTGATGATCTCCAAGCAAGATCTAATTGTGAATCCCACAATAAATGACACTCAAATCCTCTTACACAGAACACGCGAGGAAAATAAGTTTGCTCTTTACAAGATGAAAAGAAAGGAAAATTCTTTAAAGTCTACAAAATTTTAGAATAGTAGTCTTACTTGGCTAAAATTCGATCTAGTAGCTCTCCTCCTTCGCATAATCTGAACATAGGAAAACATAACATAAAACATGATCACCATATACTGAGACGTGCCAGTCTAAGTTGCATATTTTACACAGAAAGTAACCACCTAAAAATTACCAAGCCACTATGTCATGGAATGAATGATAACCATGGGCTCTTATTCTTCAGAGACGCATCGATATTAATGTATGCAATAAAATGTTCACATTTCCTGGTACAGAAGAAGATTGATTTAATTGGCAAGAAAAATATAAGACATATTGTAATCTCAGAAATGATATATTCTTAACAATAAAGAAGACCAGTGTTTCAGCATACGGATAAGATCGAGAAAGTCCATAAAGCTTCAATCTCTGAGCAAATTAACATGCAAGAGCAATTTTTTAGAAATTTTTTTTACTAGGGGAATCTGATTCAAATTAGCTTGAAGAAGCTCAAAATTCCCATTTGCTAAGTGCTAGAGAGGGTTCTTGAAACAAAACCTGAGATTGATGAAGCAGATTGAAGCTCAAAATTCCCAAGAAATAGAGGAGGAAAGTGGGTACTGACCCATTAGAGCATCTCCAATGGAGCGCCAAAACTCCATTTTGGAGTGTTTTGGCGCTCCAATGGAACGCCAAACACCCCGCTAAATTAGCGGGGTGCTACAGTATTGCGCCAGAAATGGCGCAACACTGTAGCAATGTCGCAGTGTGTTTTTTTTTTTTGCTTTTTTTCTTTTAAACTTTATTCTTTTATTCATATTTTCTTTTTTTTTGCTTTTTTTCTAAACTTTATTCTTTTTGCTTTTGTTTTTTATATTTGTATTAATAATATATATTATCTTATATTAATTATTATAATGAAATTAGAGTATAAAATAATTATTAAAATAAAATTAAAAAAGAAATAAGAAAAACTACACCATTTAGATAAAAATTAGGACATAAAAATGTAATGCCTTTTATTTTTATTTTTTGCTTGCAAGTGTGATGTTTTTTTTTGTGATGTTAAATGTAATCTTTAGTTGAATTTATGAAAATAATATTTTAATTTAATTTAACATTTAATTTTTTATATTTTTATTTTATTCATAAAATATATTATTATAATTAATTATATGTAATGTATTATATAATTACATAATTTGTTAAATATTTTAAATAGATAAAATGTTAAAAGATAAGAATAATAAAAGGAATATTCTTTTTGGTGTAAAATTTGGTGTAATGGGTTGGAGATGGAATAGTGATTTGGTGTAAAAACTACACCAACTTGATGTAAAAACTACACCATTTTGGGTTTTATGGTTGGAGATGCTCTTAGGTTTCGGATCCAAGGCCATTGTCATATCTGATGAACCTGCGGAGGTTCCGAACCCAAGGCATCGACGATGCTGACGGGATCTTTTTCTGGGCATCGTCCTGGGACCCATCGCCGTCAGTGGACCCGCTATCGCCGCCGTACATCCTCGCTTACGCTACGCCCGCGGCAAAGTTAGATATGAGATTGAGGGATTATTGCATTAGAAAGAGAGAGAGAGAAGCTAGGGTTTTGTGGGTGAGTTGGTGAGAGGAGAGAGAGAAGCTAGGGTTTAGCGAAGGAGGGACTGGAGGACGGGGTGTTAAGGCTTGGAGGACAAGGCCAGAGGAAGGGTGGAGGGCTGGACTTACGTTTTAGGTTTTGAAGGAGGGACTGTAGCATCTCCAATGGTACTCCATTCCTCTATAAATGGAGTATCATTGGCTCCAATGGTTTAAATGTAGCATCCTCTATATTAAGAGGATGCTACAGTAATCCTCTATATTTGAAGAGTTTGGGCTTATATAGAGGGTGCCCTCTATAATACTATTCATATATTTTAATTCCAATTTTGTCTTCTCATCTCATTATAACTTTTCATAAATACCAATTGTATCCTTAAATATAATTAAACTAATTATTTAGATTAATATAATTTTAAATTTACTCGTCTATTTTAAATAAAAATTATATCATTGAAATTGTCTTTCCGAAACCTTCAAAATGAGACTAATATTTAATACTTTTAATAATAATTTTAAATTTATCATTATGAAATATTGAAGTACAGAGAATTTAAAATACATCAAGCTTAAAAAAAATTACATTATTCCATTACCATGTCTTTGCCATAAATATTCAATGAGTGCATTCCGAAGTTCAAAGTGAGCCTCCTGATCTTGGATTTTCCTATGTCGAGCGAGGAATCGTCTTAAAATAAACTAATTTTAAAAATATTTTATTAACAAATATTTTTATTTTATTATATTAAAATAAACTAATTTAAAAATGACTTTAAAAATATTCAATATTAATCTCATTTAAAATGTTTCAGCGAGACGGTTCTAAAGGTATAATTTTTGTACAAAAAATGATAAGTTTTAATTATTTTATTTACATTATTAGTTTGTTAATGATAGATTAATTCATATAAATATAGAGGGCACCATTGGAACACAACTTTTACAAACCCTCTATATTTGAGGAATCTTGAAGAATATTCTCTTCAAACCCTCTAAATATAGAGTATACCATTGGAGATGCTCTAAGGGGAAAATAAGGCGAAAATATTTTGAGAGGCGGGGATACGAAAATTTTGGAATTGATTTTCTACTAGTGACATGAATGATTTGAGTCCCTGACTTACACAAGGGCAGACCAAAATTTAGGACCAAAAGGGTGACATTTCTTTATTAATAGTAAAAGGTTTAATTTTTAGTCCTATTATGATTAGGAGTTATCATCAATGAAGATAATGGGCCCCTTCGTCTTTAATGAGACCTAATAATTACGGTATTAGGATCAAATCAATGAAGGGACTAGAAAACCGTTATCTCATCTCATATCATTCCTCTAATATTTATAATCACTCGACGAAGGCTTTAAAACCCGTCGTTATTATATACACATTAATGACGGTCAGGTGGTCCCTTCACTAATTTTGGTTATTAAATACTGGATTTCTTGTAGTCGAGGTAGCCTAGTAATGGAGGGAACCCGCGCTTTTTTCCCTCCATTTTCGCCGTCGAAACGCATTAATTATGATGGCAGCGATCACCAGCTCCATGGGTTAAGGGGAAGATTTCCAGGATGAGAGATGAGGGCATTTTCGGTAGTTTATAGAAAATACATTGAGTACATGTATAAAGGTGAGCTTTTGGGGCTGAAGTACACTTTGTAGCCTCTTTTGAGGCTAAATATTAGGGGGCTGAGCCACATCCACTTTATTTTTTGGGCATTGACACATTTTCCCCGAATATATTTTTATCGCAATTATAGATATAGATTTTAAGTAGCTGATTTTAATTGTTATACATTCTTTCTACTGATTCTTTTTCATAGTTGGTTTTTGAAGTATGTCGACGGTTGAAGTTTAGGTTGCTTGCTGTTGCTGCTTTCAAGCATACGTTCATCCTTTAAAATGCATTAATTTTGAATAAATGGATGTATTTGTACACATGAATTAATTCAAGAGCTTTGCTACAAGGACCCAAAATATGGGACCAATAAAGGGGACAAGTGAGGTGTCCCCCTCCTATTGGATAATGAGTTGGCCATCATTAATGATGGTCAATTCATTATCCAATAGGAGGGGGACACCTCATTTGTCCCCTTTATTGGTCCCATATTTTGGGTCCTTAAAGAATTTTTCTTAATTCAAACCCATTCAAGGAGGATGTTTCTGATCCTCTTCTTTGTATTATCATAAATGCCATCAATCTAGTATCGGATCAGGTAATTTTGTACATGAACCTTTAATATTCAGATGCATCATACAATCGCAGAACTTCGCCACTTCGGGTTCCCCTCTTCTTCTGTGGAATAAAAGCAAGGGTTATTTAGATATTAGTCCCTCAAATCTTCAATAATTCCATATTAGCCTCTCAAATCCCAATAATTGCTTATTTAGTACTTAAAATTCTAGTGTTATTGCAATTGGGTCCTTCACTGACCAAAAGATCCTTAGCTATGTTAAGGGTTATTTGCAATTTGACACTCTAAAATTTACATATTTTAAAACTTTGATACCCAAAAGTTTGTCTGATACTTTGATACCCCAAAGTTTACATCTCTTCTAACTTTGATATCCCAAAATTTTTTGATACTTTGATACCCCAAACTCACACATTTTATAACTTTCATACCCCAAAGTTTCCACAGTTTTTAACTTTAACACCTCAAAGTTTACACATTTAACTTTGATATCCTATAGATTGCGGTATTGATACCTTAAATTTTGGAGCATCAAAGTGTCAAAATAAATTTATGGAGTATCCAAGTGAAAAAGATAAAATTAAATTTTGTCATAACAAAATTATTACATATTTTTAAACTTTACTCATTTTCACTTATATACACTCACTTGTATTTAATAGCAAGAAAATACCCTAAAAGTATTTTAAACTTGCACTTATATGCCCTCATTTGTTTTTGATAGCACTTATACCCTAAAGTTATTAAAACTTGCACCTAAATACCCTAGAGATTTTAACTCTGGCACACCTAAATACCCTGAAGATTTTAAATCTGGCACTTAAATACCCTAAAGTTTTTAAAATTTGCATCCAAATACCCTCAAGTTTGCATAACTGAGGGTATTTATGTGCAAGCTTTAAAACTTTAGGGTATTTAAGTGCCGCTAAAAAAGTGAGGTTATATAAGTGTAAGTTAAAAAAAGTATAGAGTATTTTTTTGCTAACAAATACAAATTGGGATATACGAGTAAAAAATAGTTGAAACAATAGGGTATATAAGTGCTATTTAGCCAAGTTAAAAATGTGTACAAAAATGTGTACTTTGAAATACCGAAGCGAA